GCTGCGGTGGCGGGGTTTAGCCACTGCACTCCAGTCTGGGTGACAGAGTATGTTGCAAGTCTCAGATGAGTTAACAAGTCAAAAAACGTCATGGTTATGGGAAGTAGCAGAGTCAAGGTCCAAACACAGGTGCTGGGTATCATCTATGAAACAGGAAATGAATAGTAGACTTTTCTAACATGAGAGGGCTACCTGGGAAGTGGCAGACATGGACTCTGGTTCTCTTGGGTTCCTCTTGGTCCCCCTGGGCAAACCACTTCTTCCCTCTGAACCAGCTCCCTCACAAATGAAATGAAGGACCCAGACTAAACAGTCTCCTGGCCATGACATTGGGCGAGTCTATGAAAAGGTGCCATGATACAATGGCCAGAGCAATGCAGGCTCGAACAGTCAACAGACCTAAGTTCAAATGTGGATCTGCCACTTCCTCAAAAAAAAAAAAAAGAATACCTTTGCCTTTGCAGGTTTTCTTTTAATGTGTTGTATCGGGGTTCTGCAGAGAAAGAGAACCGATAGGATGTGTGTTTATATGTACATAAATGTAGATAGATGGATTGCTATGAAGAGATTTATTATAAGGAATTAGCTCACATAGTTATCGAGGCTGGCAAGCTTCCAAGATCTGCCTTCTGCAAGCTATACACCCAGGAGAGCTACTGGTGTAGTTCTAATCCAGATGTCAACAGACTGAAGACCCAGGAAGAGCTGATGTTTTAATTCTAGTCCAAAGGCAGGAAAAACAAAAAAACAGTGTCCCAGCTCAAGGCAGTCAGGCACAAGGAAATTCCCACCTACCTGTGAAAAGGTCAGCCTTTCCTTTTGATTTAGGTCTTCAACCGGTGGGTTGAGGCCCACCCACGTTAGGGAGGGCAATCTGCTCTGCTCATCTAAATGATGATCTCATCCAGAAATACCTTCACAGGCACTCTCAGAATAATGTTTGACCAAATGTCTGGGCTACCCATGGCTAAGTCAAGTTGACACATGAAATTAACCATCACAAGTCCTTCCCTTGTCAACTTGGCACGCATGCATATCTCTTTAAACCATACTTATTTTCTTTCTTTCTTTCATGCATTTTTTTTTTTTTTTTTTTTTTTGAGTCAGGGTCTCATTCTGTTATCAAGGCTGGAGTGCGGTGGCACAGTTAATGGCTCACTACGGCGTTCCCTTCCTGGGCTTTGCTGATCCTCCTGCCTCAGCCTCCCAAGTAGCTGGGACTACAGGCATGTACCACCACACCCAGCTTATTTTTTTATTTTTTATAGAGATGAGCTCTCACTATGTTGCCCAGGCTGGTCTCAGACTCCTGGGCTCAAGTGATCCTCCTGCCTTAGTTTCCCAAAGTGCTGGTATCACAGGCATGAGCCATGGCACCCAGCCAGATATACCTTAATTTCCAAAATAAAGAAAATACCAATGTCATAATTCTGCCTAACATAATACAACTATCCTGTTTACAACAGAAAACACACTAATCCCTTCCCCAGAAAAGGAAGTAAAACCCTTGAATGATGTTTACACTTCTCTTTGATATCCTCCTATAACTTAAATACTATGATGGAAAGTCAGTGCCTCTTATGTTATGTGGTAAGGGAATAAGAGAGGGGGTAAATAAAAAAGAATTGACTACACGCACATACACACACACACACACACATACACACACCCCTCTGTTCATAAAAGAAGGAGGAAATACTCAAAGCAGCTACAGTTGTCATTTCTGTAACTGGTTAGGGGGTTATAGCTGGTATTTATAACTACCTTCTTTCATTACCCATTCTTTGCCTTCAGCAAGCACCTCAGCTGGTTGTGGTTCTTTACCTGGTGGGGTGATCCAAACCATTTCTGAACGTCTGGGCCATTAGTAGTCCTGCCTGGGTTGGATTGTTGTAGTTTTCCATTGACATTAATCATAGGGCATAGTAATACTTTTAAAAAAAATGCCCTACAGGCTCCCCTGTATTCCAAATGTGTGCCAAGGCCCTCTCTTTTGCAGTAGTTATCCAATTTCTCCTCAATAGCCAGGGTCAATCACCCCAGCCAGTACATAACTCCCTTCTTTGTCTGTTGATTCAGAGGCATGAGGAGCCCTTACCTAATTCTATCCTAGATAAGAACTGGCAGTCTTAACTTCTATCTCAATGGAATTGTTGTGTCTCCTGGTGGAAGCATTCTTACCTTTGAAACTAGACCTCTAGGCCATCAGAGCATCAGGCTTAGGAATAGGAAACAAAAATGTTGCTGGTGGGTCACTAGGAGTAATGGTGCGTGGTGCCACTACCATTTCCACTCCTTAGTTCCTGGACCCATGAGTCCTGGCTATGGAAGAAATAGCATCATATATTGTCTGCTGATTCAGAGCAGAAACAGAATGGAGAATGTCACCCAGCCCTGCAAGGGACAGCCAACCAGTTGGTGCTGTAACTGAGTTTTCAAAAGGCCATTCCCATTCTATCAAACCGGCTGCTTCAAGATGCTGGAGAACATGTGTCATGGAATGAATTTGCTGAGAAATGAAGGCCGAGAAGTATCCCTCTCCCTTGTTCGATGTTTTATCATTGCATTCCATAGTTGGCACATTTAAGAAGCCTGTTTAATGCTCAGAATCCGTCCCTGCAGTCAGGGTACACAGCATCAAGAGGCAGAAAGCTCTTTGGTTGTGTATGTGGGTTAGCAAGCCATGCCAGAGCTGTGAGCAGGGCCAAGAGAGGGATTTCTAGGTGCCCTACTAGACTAGGGATCTTCTAACTACATCCCAGGTACCCAGGTCAATGCCCAGTACAGAGGCAGTAGATAAAGAATGTTACTGAGTTAAGTGAATTTTCCATGCTATATATTTTTAATTAAAAATGGAAAGTTTCATGTTTAAAAGAAAAAACCAGAGTGATCTATCACAGAAACAAAGAACTGAGAACCATATGTTCTCACTCATAAGCGGGCCTTGAGCAATTATCATAATACTGTAAGAAGGGGTTTGGCAGTAGTGAGAAAGTGCTGGGGAGGCACATCTCATCAACAAGGGTACCTGCTGCATAATGACCATTTGTATACCTGACCCTGAATTGTACCCAACGTTTTTAAAATAAAATAAATTTTTTTAAAAAAGAACAATTGGGGGAAGGAAAAAAAAAAACAGCTATTGCTCAACTCTGGTTAAACAGTGATCCATAAAGAAAACAACACTTCAGTGTCATTTCACTAACCCACAAATAATCACTGCTAACGTACCAGAAACACAGTTTAGCTGGAAGAATGCAGGACTAGAAGTTAAATGTTCCACTTCCAACCCCAGCTCTGTCTATTTCATTCCACATGACCTTGGGCCAGTTGCTGTCCTTTCTAGGCCTCATAGGCCTTGTTCACATCCACGAAATAATGGAGTTGGTAGAGCCCTTTCAGGGCTAAGCTTCCATGACTTATAACCTGGTCTTACCTCCAGATTGATTAAGTAGCTTCTTTCTAGATATCCCAGAATCTTTGCCTAGAGGTCCTGGGTCCCAGGCTCCTTAGAATAACAAATCCCTCCAGCTGTGTGTCCTCATCTTCCTGATATTCCTACTTTCCCCTGCCCATCCACAGGAAGATGATTCCCTGGTGAGGCTGCTTAAATTAGTTTGAAGTCAGCATCGGTGAGAGAGAGCCTTGGGCACCTCCTTCCTCCCCTACTCCCCTGCATCATCTCTTCCCATTAGCCTGCATTGCTATAAAAACGGGCTATGTAGGCAAGGAACAATCAAGCTATAAAATTATTCTGTTCTAATTCTACCCTAGATCACTGATGCGTGTATCTATAAGAACAAACAACTTTAAAAAAGGAGAACAGAGAGGGGGATGTAGCCACTTCCAGTTAACTCAATAAGTGTGACTCAGTTACCTGCCAAGTACCAGGCCCTGTTTTGGGCACCAACAGGGAAGCCTAGCAGGGGCCCTGCCCTACAGTAGCTCAGGCTGGTGGGGATGGGGACATAATAAGGAACAGACAGGGAACTCAGAGAGAGGATTAATTCTTACAGGTAGGAGGCTTCACAGAGCAGGTGATATTGGAACTGGGCCTTGGATTTTTCTAATTCCTGACTGAGTTAAGGCCTTGAGCAAAGGCCACGGGTAAAGCCTTGTGTATGGGAAGTCTCTGAGGATGGGAAGTCTCAGTGTGGTTTCTGTGGAGGGTCAGATGTGACTAGAAAGGTGGTTTGGGCAAAATAATGGGGCGGAGGGGCAATTGGCAAGGCAGACAGAAGAGTTTATACTTTTCTCATAGTCCCAGGGAGCTCTTGGTGGTTTCAGAAGCTGATGCTGTAGATACGGGGACTGGAGGATGCCAACGAGATAGAGAAGTGGGAACGGCCGCTATGGGGAAATCATTCCCATTCCCAGGGAGGAGATGTGCAAACCCTGAGGGTCCTGTGGGCCTGCTGTCTCTGGCCTTCTGGGCTATTGAGGTGCTGGATGGGGCTAAGGCTAAATTAAGCTGTGACTGCAAACAGGGCAGGTAATGACAAGGATCAGGCTGGGAGTGGGGCAGGTGGAGGAACCCTCTCAGAACTGAGAGTACAACCCCTAGTGACTGCTCTGAGGCCCCAGCTGGGAGCTCTATTTCACCCCTAAACTGGCGAAGA